GATTGCTGACAAATCCTGAAGGCGCACACAACGCAGCATCCACCATGTACAAGATGCACGTCCTGACAGACGTACAATTCACTATTGACGTCACAGCAAGCGTCAGCTCCGGGTGTGGTGGTTCAGCGCCTGTCTCTGAAGCTGACGTCATATTGCTTCTCGATGAATCCTCGTCAATCATCAGCTCTTCATCTATCCAGTCCTTTTCAACACCCCACAGTCCGTCCCATGCCCGACGTAGCAGCGATTTCCTACTCGGACCCTTGGAACTCTCCTCCTTCACAGCCAGGATCAGAGTCGACATCTTGTCGCTCATCTCCTTCATGGCTAAACGCTGACGACGCAGCTCTTCACGAGCAGCTGCGTTGTCATGGATCAGCGCAGATATGCGCCGATCTTCTCCAGCATCATCACCCCCCATGAGCAGGGGTATACTCGACTTGTCCATGCCGTCTGCACTCACACCTGTAGCCTCGAAATCGTTGTCAGAAACTGACGGACTTCTGGCAGGTTCAGACACATCCTCAACCGTATACGACGAGACCATTCCCCATGACGCGACGACCAGCCCCAGAATGCATACCCGTGCTCCGAAACCATGACAAGATCGTGGCCACGCCATGGCCAGACCTCTCCGGAGGGCAGCAGTGAAGAATCGACTTGAACCCAGTCGAATGGGGGCGAATTCGATCGACGAAACGGCCAGAAACGCACAGGCCGAACGTCTCACGCCAGTCGCACACAGGGCCTGAGTCCCTCCCTCGAAAGGGATGCTCACTTGGCCTCGCAGGTCCTCTCCTCAGTCGTTGAGGAGGCCTGACCGACTGCCACAGCCGTAACCAAACGTAGATTACAGACTGGAGGTCAACAACATCGCCGACCAGCCAGTTTATATACATTAGCATGTTTGTTCTCAGCCACACGTTCCATGGAATATGCTTCAGAAGATTCCCTACTATCCCTCTGATAATGCCTCTTGTCATGCCTATCAGGAACTAAAAGTCACATCATGCATTGACAATGACAGCCGCACTGTCCCAGTCATGCATCCTACGACTGTTCAACCGGTCACTGTCATCAAAATCTAGCATATCTTATCAAATCCGATCAGATCTATCGTAGTATCCATAATCTTATACGTGTACCACACATGCCGACACTTTCTGTGGCTCGCATGGCCCTTATCCACGTCAGCTCAGCTCATTCCGATCAGGGTGCCATCGTAGACTTGCCACGCCACGCTGCTCGTGCCCAGCCGTCCTCATGGATGGCGTTCAGCGCAAGGCATATTTTCCTCCGGTTCGATCGACGGCTTCGGCCCTTTCTTGGCCAACCAGTTCATCATCTCAACCTTCGCTGCATCCTTCACAAGCAGCTGGTCGATTTCCCTCTGTCGTTCACGGAAATCGTTGCGCGCTTGGTCGATACATGGCGTCAATGAGGTCCTGGGGATCGGTCCATAGTGCATGGACTCCAGCTGGGCTTTCTCACCTCTCAGAACTCGAACCTCTTCATCGTTTTCACAAGCATTCTCAATCGTCTGTGTGGTCCCATGACGAAAAAGCTCCTTCAGAATTCGATTCTCAGCAACCTTCAACCGGTCGTTGACGATCTCATAAGCCCTCCAGAGAACAGGCTTGTTCTCTTCCTTTCTGAGCATTGTCTGCGCCACCTCCCTTGAAGCAACTCGCCAAGCTGGTTCAAGTCCTCTGTATACCATCGCTTCCAGCCCATACAAAATCTCAGACTTCATGATCAGAGGCACGTCCACCATTTCGACGTTTTGGGTGAAGGCCATGGCTGCACCCTTCGTCAAGTTGAAGAGAACTTGATCTCGCTGAAGCGCCTCCTCCCATTCTTCAAGGAGGGCAGTTTGCATGTCGTTTGCTCTTTTCCAAAGGCTGTCGAAGCTAATGCTGCCGTCCGTCGACCACACAACGGCTTGCACACCCGGTTGTGCAAGCCTTTGCTGCTGAAAGAGCTCCAGCTCTTCAGAAAACTCTTGGACATCTTGGTGGCTTGGGAAGCCACGACTCTTTCGCCACTCCAAGATGGTGGCCAGTCGCCCGTCCGCCCCATCCCCCACTGTCGGAAACGACATGGCGCAGGGGTGGCCAGCTCGCCCTGGTCACGATTCGCAACAGATCGCGCATGCCATGCGCGGATCTGCCCAAATCTCATCTTAAACTACCCTATTACTAAGGCTACAGCTGACAGCAGCCTCCACTATTCCTAAAATACGTTAACCATTGTTTCTTTCCAGCAACACTTAGCTTTTCAATCCTAAAAACCCTCAAAAGTCCGTCGGAAACAAAGGTTGTTTCTTAGGGTCCACTTATTTTGTTCTTTCTAGGACCCTAGATTTCCCAAAAGTTATCAGAAAAACATAAATTTTGTACCATTCAATTGCAAATTGAATTTGCAATTGATTTGTGTCATCAAAACCTTATAATGACCCCATCTAGACCATAATGGGATCCCTGGCCTGACTGCCATCAAACACCCACGTGCCAGGTCGCCTCCAGTCGCCTAGCATACAGGGCGACGTGACAGCGCCCGATTCCTGCCCGATATGTACGCGTATCGCAAATTCCCCCGGGCGCCCCGCTGAGTCAGCGCTCGGCGGTACAGGCGCCCCCCACCACCTCACTCTCCGCACTCGCACCCCCTTGCACCCCCTCCGGCCCGCCATCGGGTCGGCGCGTTTCCTCAAGGCGGCCTTTGCGAGCAAACCCCCCCGGCAGGGTTGGGCGCAAGGCCCCCCTCCGTAGAATGGCCGGCTCGTTTTTTCCGGAAAGATCCCCCCCGTTCCGGAAACGCCTCCGGACCACCATCGCCATCCATTCCCGCATCCACCTTCGGGGGGCGCTCTCTCTCGAGCACCCCTCCGTAAGTGTGCTGCCCGGGCAGAAAGGGAACTCTGCCCCTTGCCTCCGGATCCCCCCGGCCACCTCCAAGCAATCCCCTTGGGATTGTCTTCGCCGCCGTGCGGCTGCGACCCCCTCCGCGGAGTCCCATGGGTTCCCATGGGCAGAACTGCCCGATCAACGGGCATTGCTCCGATCTTTCGACGCAGGGCCCATCGGCAGGTGCCCCTGATCCATTCGGGTCGGTCGCTTGGCACGCGCGCAGCGTTTCAGCCAGTCGCTGGGCATGCAGGTGGCTGGCGTTGGGTGCGGGCCTCACAGGCCTTGGTGCTTCCTGGGTGCTTCCCGCGCAGTGGGTGAATAGCTGGGCAGGTTTACGTGACAGTTGTCCACCTGTCGGCGTACATCCGGGCCCTGACGGCCCCTGTGGGTTCCCTGTGGCCTGGTACCCCACCGGTCTGTTTGCGAACTGTCGACTGAGGCCAAACTGGCCTGGAATTCTGGGCCTCACGGGGCACCAGCTTGGTAGTATTCGCATAACATTTCTTGTGGCATGGCAGCCATCTATTCATATAGATCGGCTCCATTTATTGGTGCCCCGAACAGTATCCTAATGCTAATCCGCCAGAGGGGGACCACACCAGGTCGTCCAAGGTAAATTGGTTTCTTCACTGTGAATGCTAAAGCCCCAAGCACTGATCTTGCAACAGATGCCGATGACAGAAAGCACCCCTGCTGCCCTTGTCACCAGCGTGCTCATTTCCCTTGTCTGCTCTCAGCGGAGACCACCTGCGCTGGCAGCAGGCCGCCGCTACAGTGCTGTTCACTATTGTGCATTGGCCAATTGGCAACGGTATTGGAATTACTCTGTTCTAGTCGAGTGTGCCACACATGTTCTACGCATCTGACTGAACCCCTGGTGTGTAGATTGGATGGCGAGCTTTTGTCCATAGAAGGGATATGGAGCCTGTTCGCGATCTAGAGGTGTACCTTGCACGCGTGCAAACACCTACGCTCTGTGGCATCTGACCTCCCCCGGGATGGACAACACAGTCCACCCTGTCTTGAGAGGCACTTCTCAGTGGCAGCTTCTGCTTGGATTCCGAATGCGTCATTGCCAGCACGTTCAAAGCCCCTGACTGGTGACTGCCTTCTGGTCGCCTGATGTGGCGGCAGAAGGTCGCTCGATTATCAACGCATAGTGGCTGGGAACAAGGGACAACGGAATCTCAGCGTCCAGGGAAGCGGGATGGAAAAGAGCATTGCAGTGATTTTGCACCGCACTCGTCTCTCTGAGTGCGTGAGTCCGACAACAACAACTGTTCCGCAGCTTGTCCAGGGACATCCCCCTGAGAGGCATGCTCGTGGCGACGCCCAACACTTCATTCGGCACTGGTCCGACTTTGGCAACGTCAGGCAGGATGGCACAGAGTTGCAGATTGAACCCTTGCAGCTCTGACGAGCGCTGTGCCGTATTGTTCAGGCCATCAACACCAGGAACAGACGGTGCCGGACGGCCTCACTTTCACAAGACGGTGTTGGCCAGTCGCAGAATGACATGTGCTTCTGAATCCAGGCAGCTGGAACCACAGAACCGAAACTAGCGTGGGAAATAAATGCTGGGGATCTCGATTTTCTGCCAGGTTGGGAAGCCCCAGCATTTCAAATTTCATAGGCTGTAGAAGCTACTGCCCTTAGTTACGCACATGAAGCAAATGCCTGTGTTTGAGGAGGCTTAACTGGGTCGCTACTGGTGCGCAATTAGAGCGGCGGTTGATGTGTTGAGCATTCCCCGGGAACTGCACGATCTGAAGATTCCGTCAGAACGTAGGGTGGTTACCTTAGGATGCAAACCCCCTGTGGATTGGCTGGGCTTGGTACTGTGTTTTGGCCATTGCCAGCTAGATGCCAAGCTCTCAGACATCACTTGGCAGACTCAATTTTCAAATCAACAAGCAACTAGCGCTCCTCTGCATTTGGAACAAGCTTACACCATACAAGGGTTCCCATGGACGATCATCATGTCGCCTGAGAACAGACAACAACATCCACACACCCTGGGTGGTCACTGCCCCTCTGCTGGCGCCCTCTTGCGGTTCCCAGCCCGATCAATCCGTTGCAAGCCGTAGCCCACTACCTCAGTCCACCAGCACCGGTCTTGCCTCCCTGCTTCCCACCGCGACTCCTTGCGGCCTTCTCCACCTTGCCGCCAGCTTGGGTCTTGCCTCCAGTGGCCTTTTTCGCGTCCTTCGATTTCCTCATGCGCTCCTTGACCTCCCTGAGGAGGGCACACACAGCCATGGATCCTTCAGTACATGGTCAACTGGCAAGAAGCCCACGTTGCACACCACTCAGCTCCCTCTGGGCACCCTGTCATCGGTTTCACAAGCAAACATCTGCCCTCTAGCTCTGCTGCTCAGCCCGTTAGCTGCTCTGGACACACACTGTTCAGAGTACTGAGAACCCCACTACATTGCTTAACTGCTTTGAAAGGTGTCTGTGCATAGGTGTGCATGCCTGGGAGTGAACGAGGACAGCAGCACACCATCAACAGCAATAATGTACCTTCACGGCGCTTTGTTAGACTGACAGCAACATTTGTTTCTGCCCTATGCTTCTGAGGAGCCTCAATATCTGATACAATTTGGCATGAACTCACCGGAGAGCAGCATCCCTGGCTGCCTGACGAACCTCCGGTTTCTCATTCCGCTTCTTTTGGATGACCTTGACATCGAAAGAACACATGATTGTCACTTCCAATGTAGGTATGTCCTTCCAAACAAATGCTGAACTCAAATTTCATTGAGCACAAATACAAGGAAAACTGCATCCCTGGACTGAAGGCATATATGCACTAATCAGTGTCTGTGGGCAGGCAGGGCACTGCATTGCAACTTAGTTCACTTGCCCTTGTTTGGATGGGTCTGTGTGGGAGCATGGAGTGGGGTCTGCGACCGCGATCTGAGTCCATTCGCCAACAGGGCAACATGTTCAATATGCCCAACTTGGGCAATTTGCTCGTCGCTTGGTCGTCCCAACTGCCAGTGCCTTTTCCTGGAGGCTTGCTCAACTCATTTGTCAATGCCTTGAGAGGTGCTCATACCCACGATCCTTGGTGGCAGCATGGTCAAATGGTGTCGAGCACAGGTGCACCAGTCCACGTAGCTCGCTCTTTAGTTTCAGCAGGGAAGCACGGGTTCTGTCTGGTACTTGATGCAAAGGGCACACTCATCATAATGGCATTGGTGAACCGATGTGCACCACCAAAGACAGCACAGAATGCCGATTGCACTGCAGTGCCAGGATAACATCCTATCGAATAGAAAACAGACAAGCGCCAAGCCCAGATGGCTGAAATTCGCCAATGCCATCATTTTTTGTTGCGATACATGCTGGGCATTTGTTCCATGGAAACTCGCCTCAGCAAGTCATACCTCAAGGGAGGCTCCAACAATGGACCGCAGTGTGACCTTCTGGTGCGTCCTTCGCTTTCTCCTTGAGGAATCGGTGGTTTGGTCCTATTTGGCATGGGCAAAATGTCTCAGCACTCAGCGCTGAGGGTTGGAAGAATGTGCAGTCCCCCATTTTTGGTCCCAACAAACAGATCCAATATGCAGCACAATTAGATCTTTGATGCAAGGCAGCGTTTAGTGTAACAGAGCCGAGGCCTGTGAATCTCGCAGATCTGTGGGGTGCTTCCGTCTGGGAATGGGAATCGCAGCCCCACGCGGGCAAGGTCGACTCTAAGCCGCTGTACTAGAATGCGAGCTGCGGTTTGGGACGATATGACAGGTGATAGATTCCGGTCACTAGTCCAGAACAGTGCTGTCTACAGGAAAACTCAGCACACTTGGGATGCTGCATTGCTGGATGGCTGTTGGTATGTGATGACGGCCACTGCAAAGAGCACAGTATGCTCCCGCTGCCATCCACCACATCCACCCCATGAAAGCACGGAAGTAGCCCTACATCGCATTTCTTGTCAATGGGCCCGCTGGATTGCTTGGGACACAAGTTCTTGATGCAAAGAATTGAACCACATCCACTCCAGTTGCACTCAGAGACTTCCTCGTCACAATCCACAGATTGGACACGAGCATCCCCAAATCCTCCTCAGGAGGCGGTGCCCGTGTGCGACAGGGTGTCTTTTTGCCGCAGAGACCAACACTTCGCGGATGCGCTCGTGGCGCTGAGGATTGGCTGCCCGCCGCACCTTCTTGTGCTGCTTCCTGTACATGGCCGTCCAGTTGATCTTCGCGGCCCTCACCCTCTGGTGGAAGAGGGACCGGCATTTGCTGCCCATCAACAAAAAGTTCTGGCAACAAACGGACGAAGGGAGTCAGCCCACCAGTCCCAGGCACCCACTAGCCCATGCCAACACCCACCCAACCTCCTCCCCCGACAAAAATCCCACATAACATGCGGACACACCCAATCGGCATCACCTGCCCATCACCCCTCACGAAAGTAGTCCCCTTCCCGGGGTAGATCCTCAAACCGCTGAAGCGGCACAGGCTCGTCCTGAAAGACAACAGCATCGAATCAACTCAGGCCCGCGGCCCTTGCTCGCGGAGGGCGCCAGCAAGATTGCCGCTTCGGGCGCCCCCTCACTTCAAAACCATGGCTGCTCCTCGCGCTAGCCCGCAGCACAACCGCCCGCCGCTGCCTCCGCTCGCGTTCTGCTGGGGAGGCGGAACCCAGCCGCCACGCCGACACTCTCATAACCCACCTGACCCAGCAGAACCGTACATATGCCGTATCTGGGAGTCCTTTTCCTAAAAAACGAAATACAAGAAAAACGGTCCATTTTTGCACTGGCTGCGGTCCCGTGGGCCCGGAAAGGGTTCCTGGCCCACAGGTGACCACCTCCTGCAGCCTGCGGAGAGTCCCCAGCCACCAAGGCGCAGAACTGCCCCAGGTTTGGTGGCCTGTTTGCGGCGAGGATGGCTGCGGAGGCGAGTGAACGGGGCGCAGAGGCCCAGAGCCAGGAAGACGCACGGGCGGTGGGAGAGCAAGGCGCGGACGGGCAGACAGGGCAGGAGGGCCAGGAAGGCAAGGAAGGGGAGGACACCCCCTTGCCCCTGCCGTACCGGATGGACGAAGAGGGGAAAATCTTGCCGCTGGAGGGGGTGGAGTCGATCTTCCTCACAGGTGAAGCGCACGGGCGCGAGTCTGGCGCGCCTGCGCCCGAGCGGTGGGGCCCAGGGACCCCTCCTGGGCAAACACAGCATGGTCATATTCTGCCATTTTCTGCGCCTAAGCCCGAAGCAGCGGGATACGGTGCACGGTTGAATAGCGCGACAGTTTGTGTGGCAGGCTATGGACGACGGCAATGGCTGGGATTGTGATACTTGGGTGTTGCACAAAACCCGCCGTCAGTTGTGCAGCCAGCTGATTCCAGGAATAGTGTAAATTGCGCGAATTGCTTTAGTTTTGTGGGCGGCGCAGGGGCAGCTCATGGTCTCATGGTGTCGTGCTCCCCAATTTGGTCCTTTTTCTAATTCCATCATTTTGAAATACTGCAGTCATTGTTTTGGCAAACCTTTTTTGGAATTTTCTACTCCTTTTTGCGTGTGCATCTGCAGCCTATTTGGTATTATTCGGAGACCGTTTCTTGTGAAATGCCGTTTCTAGAGTGTTTGCAACCCGCTTACTGTCGGGCACTTCGAAAGCTTTAGGTTTAGGGTGAATATGTACGGGAACAACGGGCTGTGAATGCACACAACCGTGTTTTCGCAAGATTGGTCGACAACACTCGAAAACAGGCTGTGAATACAACTTGCAAGAATAGGCTGCGAGCAAAAGTGCTGTAAACGAACATAAAGCGGGGTGGGAATACGCAAGGTGAAATGGCTATAATTGCTCAAAAATGGGTCGAGCCCTGAATCACACGAGCGCCGCTGATTCAGGTTCAACCCTTCAACAGGCACCACCATCGAAATCGTTGGTCTCCAGGACATCAGCTCAGGGGAGCCAAACAGCAAAACCGCGATGTGTGTCTCAAAGGAGAAGCTGTTGGGGGACATACAATTTCGAGGGGCGATTTCTGATTTCCATTGTTTGAAGTCGCAAATCATGGAAGCCGATTACGACCCAATCCTTGTGCGGTATAACCATGACGACATATATGGGGATGGAAACAATTTCGAGGTGCGCGCAAGTCAATAATTTGCATGCTTGGGAGGCGCCTGAGGCGCAGAGGGGCATTCCTAAACAGCTGCATTGCTCAACAAGCTCTGCACATGCGAACGGGGAAGACTGAACATATAAGTGATCGCCAGCCAATGCAAGTTGAAAATAGCAAATCAAACAGGAGAACCATCAAGCGCACCACTTGCATATCTGCGATGGCTAGGCTGGTAACTCAGAGAAACGGCATAACAATGCACAGAAAATAGTCGTTTTGATTGCTTCTTGGTTGTTTAGTTCAATTACATATCAATGTGATGTTGCGCCATCGTCTGCCACACAGCAGACCCACGCATTGGCATTAGGCAAGATTGTTAACTGCCATCTAGCTGCAGATCCTGAAAGCAATCACCAAAGCCCTGTCGTGCAGCAACTGAAGCAGTGCCAATGTATGCGTCAAAGAGCTTATTCACTTGGGCACATTGCCTTGACGCTTTACACGGATTACAAGCCGAAACCCCAATTTCACCCGCAGATCTTCACCATTAAATCTGCCGCCGATCTTGTGCAATTTATCGAGAATGAGAAAGAAGCACGTCGGAAAAGGGAGGAAGAAGAGGCCGCTAGGATAGCCGAGGAAAAATCGAAACCACGGTCGAAGAGAAAATGGGTCATCAACCCTTGGAAATCTTGGGTAAGAGACTGGCAACATGGCATCGTCTGGGCTCAGCAAACGACATTTGAGTCACAAGTCAAAATGCAAAAATCATGCTCATGAGGTAGTTTGCATTCAGATTTCATCAAGCTAAACACACTGTTAGGCTTGCTGCAATGGAGATGAATTACCAATTATTTTAGTTGGAGTGATATGCTACGTCTTCTGTCTGGCAGAGAAATCTCGACAAGAGTTCTTGGTCCAGCGTAGCAGTAACAATCACATTTGCAGCTGCAGAATATTATCTGCATACAATGTACTGTACTGATGCCTGGGGACTGAATTATGTCCTACAATGAGCCACAATTTCACGTCTGGGAAGCTTTTTAGTTTTTAAAGTCGCAGCTAATTTACAAAACGTATGTTGAAACCATTCTTCACAGTTTAAAAAACTTCTAGAAGGGATGCAGGGCTATCTAGTCTTCCCGAATATTCACGTTAGCAGAAACATACACTAGAAGCTAATGTCGTTCCACTAACACTGGCAATGGGATACAGAGGTGGTGGTGGTGGTGGGCGGTTTTGGGTGGGTTGGTTGGAATGGTTTTCTGCCTCTACAGTTGACGGAAACAATTTTCTACATCAGTGTTATACTAGCACATACCAAATGCATGAATTTCCGAATACTAATCCGGATAGGGATCCGAAGTGGAGATTGAGGAGGAGAGCGTGCGGCCTCAAAGAAAAAAGATTGTCTTGGCCATGGGGAGGAAGCGGCATGAATTCAATCGACCATTGAAGTTCTCCGATAAGGATGCTCAGGAGCTCTGGAACTCATCGCAGGTGATTTTCGACAACTGTTTCACGCGATTAGTGGCACAAGCGCAACGAAAATATGGAGTGCAACACAGCGTACTGAGCTTGGTTTCTTTCCGTGTGAGTCATAACATGGTGATATACATGGTTTCCGTTTGATATTTGACAGCTTGTACAGAACATCGGCAGGAAGTATTGTGCTCGAGGTATTTTCTCTCCAGAAGTCCAGAAAATTCAGTGCATCAGTTGCCACGATACGACAACGTCATTCATTTTAGGATCAAATCTTGCTTTTGGGCAGTTCACATTTCAGCTGTGACCCACTTTACTGTACAAGTGTAGATCTACTGAAGAATGCACCAGAAATCACAAGCTGCTCGATAGCAGGCGAATCATCGAACATAGTCGAGGCGCCTTTCTGGATCTCACTGAAAACTTGTTTGCATTGGGGTACTGATTTGACTGGTCTGCTCAACCAGAAGCCCTATTAATTCACATCAAATGTGGTGCACCAGATGGAGTGCCGACCGTTCAAGGACCCTAACTTTTCTCTTCAGATCATGGAATTAGACAAGGGTATTCAGGCAGTGCCTCATCTTTCGGACGAAGGAACCCAGGTGAGAGCAGAAGAGGTTCGAGTGCTCGCATCTTCTGTCTTCTCGCTTACTAAGCAAGTAACCACAACAGAATTATTTTGCGATGTTCCTCACAGCGTTTTGCACCTTTTTTTTCACACCACATGTTTCAAGAATGCAACTTTCTGCAGACAATTCCCTTTTAGGTTAATAGCAACCACCATAATATGCCAGCTCGAGCTTATCACGCTTTTCTTTAGGCGACCGGGCTACGATCTGTCCCAGGATGCACCCAATACGAGCCACTGGACATGCCCCTGGAGAAGAAGGTCAAGCTTTTGAATAGCAAGGACATGACGGATTTCCTTGAGAGAATTCGCCCGGGGTGAGAATCGAATCCATGGCGAACATTACTGGCGCATAACTGGCATTCCATGCAAGTGATACATCGCTTTTCCTTAAAGCACTATTAAGTAGCTGAAAACCCTGAACATATCACCGAGTGGCATTTATTTCGGACCCGTGGTTTGTAAGGACTCATTCTGTGCTCTTGGGGTTCGCCAATTACATCCCACAGATTCGTTATTGATTAGGCTGTAATGGCAGGCAGGTACGAAGCGGCATTGATCCAAAATGAGATCACGAATATATTTGAAGACGATTTCTCCATTGTGGGGGATGAAGATGGGGTGTCTGGAAGCCGCAAGGAGAATGTTATCACCGAGCATCAATCATTCACATCTCTGGATTACTCAAAGAACAAAGTCGTATCCTCCATTCAGTGGCTGCCACGCAGGAAGGTGGGTTGCTGGAAACAGCGGGGCTCACGCCCTACTAGTCAACGTATTGTGCACTTGTGAAAATGCTTTGCGAGCAGGTGATTGGATTATTCTCAGAATAACCTTGACAGTTTATGAATCGCGATGCATTTTGATTCCCAGTTTATGAGCATGTGTGGCCCTTTCTCGAGGCCAACGCCATTAGTTGAGTCCAGTATTGGATCAACGTCCGCCTGTTGCGTCGTCTCATATCCATTCTTCAAACCAAATCTGGCCAAGCCGA